GGGGGGGGGGGGGAGGTGTATGTGAATTTGCCGAGTTATCAAGGCAAATTTTGGCGAGTACCCCCACACACATGCATCTTTAGCGCCAGCCCTGGTGTAATTCTTTACCTGTTGTTCTTCTGGGGTGACGACCTCTTGACGTTTTGCAAGCTCAGCCAACATCATCTGATGATCAACCTTCATCACATTCACTTCATATTCCGATCGAGTTTTCGAGTCATCCAATGTCGAGATATCATCCTCAGCCGTGCTGGCTCCTTCGTGGATCTCTGTTTGTACATCTATCAACGACTGCACGACAAATTTGAGCGAAGTGTACGCTTCTGTTATCATATCAACCTTCTGATCATGAGTCAAAGACGACACAACAATAGCATTAAAGCAAAATACCAACGATGCAAATAAAACAAAACTAGCAGTCATTTTGTGTCTTTTGTAATGCGCAGTTCCGTCCACTAAGAGCTCTCAGTTCAAATGTTTAGAATTTATTGCGCGTCCAAGTACTAAAAAAATACAAAACTTAAAAAAAAACCCTAAAATTTCTTCAACCTGTTAAACTTATTGTGCGTTTAAGATGAAGTCTTACTCATATTCAGAAACACTGTAGTTTTTAAACACTAATTAAACGCTTCGATAAATCACTATACATGCACAGTTAAAAACGTTTTCGATTTTGCTACTCTATAAAAATCCGACAAATACACAGTGAAGATTTTAATACTTTTGCCATTCTAAGGAGTCGGCAAAGTTGGACGTTTGTGGTTGTAATTTTGTAAACTCAGTCAGAGATTAAGACATTACGGTACGGTATTTTATTCTAAAGTGAAAGGTACCAGTTAAAAATATTTCGTCCAAAAAAAAATGTCACAAGAAAGAAAAAACCTCTGAAAACAATGAAATCCTTTACCAGCAGAATTTAATGAAACAACAGGAAGTTATAAAAATCGAACAAGGGAACTTTTAGTAAGACTTCAGATCACTAATGGATATGGACGTTACATATTTTATTTGTTAAAGGAATATAATGGCGGTATTGACAGTTTTCGGAACTATGAAACACATTTAATTATAAGTAAATTAATAGTCCATAAAACTATAGCTACATTACACTCCTAGAACGAAATTTTTATCGTGTGCATTTAGTCCGTATCTAGATGCAAGATATAAATTTTTAAGTCGAAAAAAAGCAACATGTATTAAGAACTCTTGGAGCGAAAAACTGGTTCTTTAATTATCTAGAAGTGAAGATGAATAGCACCACCGTCTTTACTATACCAGAATTCACACAGCGTGTAAGATGCTTGTTTATTAATGGACAGGTTATTTATTTATGCTTTTCAACAGCTACAAAGGCACAAAAATACTTTTTCACTTAGTAGCTTTCAGTCGTGACAGCAAGATGCAGGCGAACAACGTTTTGTTCGCGTTAGTGCTGGCTGTGATCTTTGCTAACATTTGTGCAACGAAACATCACAAATCCACGGGTCAACACTCTCGGGTAAAGAAACTATTTTAATCTTTATTAAATACCACTGTTCTATATTTGCTAGCTCTCAATCGGTTAAACCTGACGTTTGTTCGTTGACTGACAACTGACAAACGATGGAACTGTCATTTGGAAATGATATCTTACAAAATATCTTAACTGATAGCTGACAAACGATAAAACAGCAATTTGAAACTGACATCTTATAAAATATATTTTTGATAAATAATACTAATTTGCTTGAATTTAGGTGACGCCTGACATGTAAAGACAAATTGCATGAGAGTTGATAAGCGAGAGTTTACGTGAGAGTTTTCCTGAGTTTTCACTGTTCGATGAGAATAAGAGTTGAGAATAAGAGTTGCATGAGATGAGAATAAGAGTTGCATGAGAGTTGACAAGCGAGTGTTTACATACGTGAGAGTTTTCCTGAATTTTCATTGTTTGATGAAATGAGAATAAGAGTTGCATGAGAGTTGACAAGCGAGAGTTTACATACGTGAGAGTTTTCCTCCTCTAACGTCAGGGGCGTATAGCCAGCCCCAAACGAGTGGGGGATGGGTGGGCCTAATCGTCCGACCCTGTGGGGACATGGTCCCCCGGAAAAGCTGCGAAGTTTATCACTGCTTTCCAACATTTTAAGATACACAACCACGAAGATGATTTGGAAAGCAAACACGAACACCGGGAAAAACGCTCTTCACATCATCATGGAAACCCTCACGTGGTGAAGAGGCAGGGTGGAGAATCAAGCACGACTACGACAACGACAGAATCACAAGGTACAACGACAGGGACTACAACGACAGGGTCACAAGGTACAACAGGATCACAAGGTACAACGACAGGATCAGAAGACTCAACAGACACTCCAAGGTAAGTGAACAATGTATATCTTCTATCAGTTGCTTTGAGTAAGCAGTAAGCAGTAAGCACTATGACGCAGCAGTGATCAGACTTGATCAGACAGCAGTGATGTTAATTCTAGACTAACTTCCCAGCGAAGAGCCTTCGCTTGTACTTTTCAGCTAGTGGAATTCCTCGCAATCCAAAGCTTTCTGGTGTTGTATTCTTCATTTGGTAGTCTTGTATTTGAAGGCAAATAAATAGAATTGAGAGATGTACTTTAACTTTCTTGCTCTAGAAATGTCAAACATTTCCAAGGTTGACCACTATCTGTTGCACGATAACATTTCACTTTTCAATCCCATTTATTTTTCACCAAATACAAGACTACTACGTACAATGAAAACAACGACAATCTCAGTCTGGTAATTACATGGAACGCCTGAAATTTATCCTTGTTACTGAAGCGAGTACAGGCTATAACAAGGATATATATCGACATTTTTTGGGAGTGTGCATCTCGCAGTTGAAGGGTTTCTGTAGATGGAATTTCAAGCAGATGATTATGTATAATTCTAAAATTAAACGAGACTTACCTGTAAGTTGAAGTTTGATTGGGATTCTACTAGTCATCAGTCAGGAACGAAGGAGTCACATGAGAAGCGCGTGCGTGCTTCGCTGATCAGTTTTTAAAGTGAACGGTTGCAGGAATGAGGAACGAAGAGTCACGGGAGGGAAGGGCCTGGTACAGAGTACCTGGGCATGTGACTCCGTAGTGACGTGACTGATGACGTAGTATAATTTTAGATCTAACCTGAAGCACTTGTGACAAATGCAACTATGGGCTCCCTAACAGGAATTGAACCTGCAGCCCTGCGATGCCGGTGCCGCTCTCTATCACGCGTAAAATTGAGAAAATCAACAACTTGTTCCAGGTTGACATCAACAGGCGTGAACAAGGTTGTGCGGCCCACTATGAACAGTATTGTCAACATGTTGTTACAGCATTGTTCAACTGTAACAACTTGGAACAACATGGTTGACAACTTGGAACAACATGGTTGACAACTTGGAACAACATGGTTGACAACTTGGAACAACATGGTTGACAACTTGGAACAACATGGTTGACAATTTGTTCATAGTTGGCCGCACAACATTGTTCCCGCCTGTCGATATCAACTTGGAACAACCTGTGCGTTTTTAGCCGTGGTAACAGAGTTACGGCGTCCTGTTGTCGAGCTCTAACCACAAGTTCCTGCCAGAGGGTTTAGAGTTGCATTTTACTGGTTAGGTCTGAAATTATATATAATGTTCCGCTCGGAACGTCCATCTCCCCAAACGCTTCAACCATAACCGGTATATCCATACTTTGCGTAGTGCCCCAGACCAACCCGCTCCATCTTTATCAATACCTGACCTTCATCTTGATGTCGGGAAAGTGAAGATTCAGAGTCAGACAGAATCCTGCAATGGCGTTCTTCTGGAACCAACGTTTGTATTGACCAGCGCATCTTGTGTTTACCCCAACCATACTGCTGAACCACACGAGAACATCACTTTCGACATGGGAACAGAATCTAAACCAGTCAAAAAGGTATATTTGTTGAGGTTCTTCATTAATTTATCGTTTAGTGTTAGTTTTTCTTTTTTCCAAAATGTTTAGTGTTGAAGGAACTAAAATTTGGTTAATGTTAGAGAAAACGTTAGATTTTACTGTTGAGCTACTAAATTTGAAACAAACTGGAAAAATTTACATACGGTTCCAAATTTCACCAATCTCGTGTGAACATGTACAGACCGAATAACTCGGATCAACAAGGCGTGATCCTCACTGGACCTCTAGGACGAACAGTTTAGAACTGATAGAGCTATTCAGTATAAATAAAGTTAGTTTAGTTTAGGTTTCCTCCTGTAGTAACACTGGATCAATAAGAGATGATCCTTACTGGACCTCTAGGAAGAACAGTTTAGAACTGATAGAACTATCCAGTATAAATAAAGTTAGTTTAGTTTAGGTTGCGTCCGGTAGCAACGCTGGAACAATAAGAGATGGCTCCCACTGTTTAAAAAAGTTTATATATCTGATAAAGTTTCCAATATAAATAAAGTTTAATTTCAGTGAGTGGTCCTCATTGACAGCTGAACGGGCTTCGTATAACGGGTCTGAGGTAAAATCTATATTTGCAGGTATTCCGTAATCCGTACTGGCATCTCACAGGCGAGCGGAAGGAGAATTTCGCCTTACTTCAACTCCAACAACCGATGGCTCATCAAAATCAGAAATATTTATCATCCATGGCGTGGAGTTCCTACGCTCTTGAGGACCTGGGTGATAGTTATGTAGGCGACCCAGACCCCTCAAGTTGTAACACGGCTTCAAACCCCGCTCGTCGTGGTGAGGTGATACGTCACGTGAGTGATCAGCTCATCACGTTGTCCTGTTCAAATAAGGTACGGTTACCAAGTGTTTCAGAAGTTTCAACCTTTCTTAATTCTATCCAGTTGATATTTTTATTCCATTCCATTTATTCCACTTTATTTCATTCTATTCCACTCTTTTTTGTACCATTCCACTTCATTCAACAGACCGTTTATTCACTTTTCACCCAATGGCCTCGTTTTCATGTCAAATACTTACTCATGTTTTGTGCGTAGTAGGGTTGAAAATTACTTTGTTATTGAGCCTACGAACAGCCAGAAACAAATTCGCCCAGGAAAACATGGGAATATAATGTTTATCTGCCCCTGACATGCTAAAATAAGTGAACATTGAAACGAGGTATAAAACGAGGGTAAAAGAGAATAATCGGTCAGGTCTATCTCATTCTATTTCATTTAGGGTACTTTTGCTGCAGGTAGTCCCATATTCCGCCTGGTCGATAACGCGCCTGTCATCTATGGCGTGTACCTTGGTCACTGTACCACGGGCTCGCTGGATCGTGCTATCAGTGGATCTTGCGGGGCACGCATCTCGAAACAGGTGTTCCTAGATTTTTGCCAACAAGCTGCGAAGGAAAATGTCGAGTTGACGGCATGTGATTCAGAACTTCTTGACCGAAGTAAGTAGACATACATCTTCCCTGGTGTAGTCAGGGTGTGACGGGTCAAAATTGCTAAAACGCTATAACTTTATACTGGCTAAATCTATCACTTTCAGACTGTTCTCCTTAGATATCCAATGATAACATGCTTTACTGGTCTACTATTACCGCATGCGGAAACCGGAGTACCAGGTGATGTAAGGATCATCTCTTGTTGATCCAGTGAAAACCTGCCGTGTTGAGTAGAGTCAAACGAAGAAGAGGTGAAATTACAATCAGACAACTGCATTATTGCAGGAATGGGACCTCAGTCACAGAAATGAAAGACACATCCATGCACGAGGCTTAAACCTTACTACTTTTTCTTTCAACAGCAAACGTCAACTTCCCCACGACTGTGTTTTCACGAGAAACATACGACGCCATGACTGAACGAAATCACAACCCTAAAGCCGTCCTACTCGCCTACCACAGCTCCGGTAAGGATGATGTTAAAATATTCATAAAATAAAACCCTGTCTCATACCAGACCATTTTATTCTATAAAACTGTCCCCCAATGATGTCCAAATCATTTCGTGCACACTTACACACGTAAAAATCTCACAACTTGTCAACAAGAAGTGTTCGCAACAGACTTGTAGCAAGCTTGTCAACAAGTTGTAACAATGCTGTTATTTTATCAAGTTGCTACAAGGTTGTCACTCACAACTTGTCAACAAGATGTGTTCGCAACATGCTTGTAGCAAGCTTGTCAACAAGTTGAATGCTGTTATTCTATCAAGTTGCTACAAGGTTGTCACTCACAACCTGTTGACAAATTGTTGAATTGCAGGACGATAACAAGTTGTTGCAACAATTTGCGACAAATCTGTTGAGCTCAACAACCTTGTAGCAACTTGTGAACAAGCTGGGAACACTCGTGATAACAAGGTTGTTGGAACAGCATTGCTAGAAGTCCGCTGCCGGTTTGTTACAACTTGTGCATTTTTACTTGTGTAGTATTAGGTGATCGAGCAATTGTGTTAGGGATAGCGATTGGTTTAGAATTAGCATTAGGTTTAGTAAAGCGTTAAGACAACATTAGCGTAATTTCATTATTTTTCAGCATCTAAACATTACCAAGATTTTGTCGAAGACATGGAAACAGTTCAACGGTTGAAATCAGTCTACGATAAATTTCAATTTGCTGTAGTTGATGTGAACATTCTACCAATCCAAGTTAAGGCTGTGCCATTTATCGAATACAGAACAAAATCCAGCGACGCATTTATCTCTTATAACGATCCCTATGATTCCTCGAACTTTAGAAAGTTTATGGACACTTTCGGGTAAGTCGGTTGGACAACGGACGTCTTGGAATCAAAGATAATCAAGGATTTTAATATGTTAAGTGTGCATAAATGTTAAGTTAATTTTAATTTCTGTTTGCAGACGAGTTGGTGCGCCTCCCAGCGGCTCTACAAGTAAGTACAATGAACTGTCATTTCCAAATCGATACCTTGTGATATCAATCATATGCCCTATATTGCCCTAAGTAAGCAATAGACCATCGCGATTGTTCTTGAGATTCCCCCTTCACCTAACCCTCTTAAGGCTGCTTTAAACTATCAAAGTTTCTGTGATCACAGTAGGAATTTTGCACAGGCAAATTCTAAGTTTTGAAGGATTTATAAGAAATGTTTGAGGAAACTGACCCAGCGTTAAACATTGAGCAGTTCCTTCATACATTTCTTACAAATTCTTCAAAGCATAAAATGATCCTACGCAAAATTTCTACCACAGAAACTTTGACAGTGTAAACCAGGCTCAGAGTAGGCTTAGAAAGTACAATTTACGAAATAGAAATGATCTTTTTTACCTTGTTTTCCAAAGCGTTTCTTCAAAATCTTCATCTGGAGAAGAGATCCGATGTTCCTGGTACTTCACGGCTAGGTGACGGTGGAGCTGAAAATGATGTGCTAACAGTAAAGTCAAGCAGTCTTCCCCGTAAGTTAAAATCATAATTACTAGAGGTAGCAATAATGCTTATAGGATTTGTACGACTATAAAAATGTGTACAATGAAAGGTCACGGGTTCGATTCCCACCGTGGTCAGTCAAACTTTTCAGCTTGCCCGGTGTGGATGCACACTCAGAGTAACGTCGCAAACATCATATTCACCTGAGTACATAACGAATGAATTTAATCAACACGAATGAAAGCTCTCCCGCCGTTTCTGTTCAGCGGAGGATCTTCCTGTGTGGAAGCTGGCTTGTTCAATCTGTCTCTTAGTTTACTTGACATGTCCAGTTTCAGGAAATAGAGCCACGTTTACTCAAACTCTCTGAAGTGGCGACTATTTTGAATTTCGAGTTTAACTATTCCATTTAATTTTTTGCTTGCCTGAATCCTTTAGCGAGTTTGAGTTCGCGATGTTCTATTTGTTATCATGATTACTATTTTGGAGGTGGGTGCCCTCCAGGTGATCTCGTGTTCGTATTTTAGCCAATCAGCGCTCAGAAAGGGTTGTCCGAATAGAAATCCATTTTGATGTATTCAGTCAATTATATCTTTCATTATTCTTTATGAAACTAGTTGAACAAAAATAGCTACTAGCTCTGACAAAAATATGGAATCGAAATAAAGTATATTACAGGAGATATACAGTTGTTTTAATCGTAAAATGGATTTCTATTTGACAACTAGTGCCAGTACTTTTCCGCGTATCAAGATCACCTGGCTGCATGGGACCTTTTATAAGAGTCCCGTTCGTACCTTACCTTTTTGGATCTACATTTGATATCTAGGTTATTTTAACTTAATGTAATATTTGTTCTGTTATATTCTTTTGTTTGTTAAAAATTGTGAATATCGATCCAAATAAAATTTGTTAAATTAACACCAACACACACAAATTGCATGTAATCAACGATTTCCAGCGACAAAAGGTGGTCATGTTTTGGCAATGTAATTCACCCCCTCCTCTGATCTATATAGCTATTATTCATTTATTCCAGAGACCGCTGGTGAAAGGTTTATACCGCAGGGAACAACATGTCATGCGACTGGAGGTTATTATTTAGTCCCGGACAAGAAATGTACATGTCTGCCGACACATTTTGGAAGTGGAGAAGCCTGTGAAGGTACGGTGCTGTGAGTACAAACAAGTTAGATAAACATATTTTCGTTCACTACACGGCTAAAAACGTACAGGTTGTTCCAAGTTGATATCGACAGGCGTGAAGAATGTTGTGCGGCCAACTGTGAACAAGTTGTCAACCATGTTGTTCCAAGTTGTTACAGTTGAACAATGCTGTAACAGCATGTTGACAATACTGTTCATAGTGGGCCGCACAACCTTGTTCACGCCTGTTGATATCAACATGGAACAAGTTGTTGATTTTCTCAATTTTTACGCGAGTACTCTGATGAAGTGAATAAATTCAGCGAGGGGTAAACTAAAGTCACAACATGACTTTGAACAAATAAAGACAACTGGAGTGTGGGAATGAAATTTGTTTAGCGATTGCATTCACTTAACCAGAGTATAGACACTAGACTGCATTGTTCAAACGTTTGCTCGTGAATTTACTTCATTTACTTTTAATTCTACCAGAGTAGACACAAGCCTAAATTTATACCTCCCCACAAGATAACAAACATAATTGTGATTTTTTTCTTTTATTTTTAGCGCTGACAACTGTAATTCAAAGTAAGGTTCTGTGCTAATTGGTTATTATTTTAATGTGGTTAAATATATTTAAGCAAGGTTAACGGTGGATGTATTATGCAGGCTACATCCGCTGAGGGGAGTCCGTGACGTCATATCGATCAAAGGGGGTTGTTTCGTGCCTTGTGATCAGTGCTTCGGTCTGGGTATTCATTCTGCCATTGTGTGCTTTGCCTAGTGCAGCACGTTTAGCGCTTCGATACCTTTTCCCCACCCTCCCACCCATGTTATTCTAAAGGATTTTATCTGGTAGTATGTCATTTTTTACTGTTTTATACTTTTTTAATCTCACAGAAAATAGGATGTATAGACCACTATACATTGTAAATCAGCGTTTAATCTTTCGAATAACCAGTCTCTTTAGAATAGGTTGTTTCTTATGTCAAGACTATAGTCTGAGATAAATATTATTGTGATGTGCATAGTTTCAAAATGTTGGGCCTGGACGAAAATTACTTTGTGTAAATGCAGTCACCCAACAAAAATAAAGTGCATTTTTATTATTAACTGTAACTGAACGCGAGCGAGATGGATCAACACAAGAATACTCCAACAAACCAATAAATAAAGAAAACTGGCAAGGTTTGCTTTCTTGATCAACACAAGAATACTCCAACAAATTATCGACATAACATTCTCTACTTCTTTTCCAGCTAACTGTGAATACAATGTAAATGGGCAGAAAAAGAAATACCAGGACGTGAAAACCCAAACTGGAGAGAAAACTTGGTGTAACGAGAAGAAGAGCATTGAAGCCACTGTGACAGCAACCAGTGACGTCAGCGGGAAAACACTGACATCTGACGACTGTGCAGATGCTATCGTTGATTTAATCGAATGTTCCTCTGACAATAACCTTCAAATACTTCATGACATTCCTTCCAACTCTTCCATCAAACGCAGCGAGATACAACGTCGCAGTCCAGTTAACACAAAGAGTGGAAATCCTCCGGAAACCTACCTGTCCAATTTCGAAGGGAACAGCCCTCCTGGCCCCATCACCCATGCCCCCAACACGCATTATTTCACAGTCGCAGGCGAAGGAGCTCAAGCCAGTGCAACTCCTTACTCAGTGCTGTTCGATGGAAACAGAGGAGACCCTGTAATGCTCTCATATAAACTCATTAAAGCAAACATGCTGAATATCGATATTAACAAGAGATTCCTACGAAACAGAAGGACCAAACTAGGTATGAAGTTTACCAAACCAACTTTATTTATACTGTTAGCTCTATCAGTTCTAAACTGTTCTTCTTAGAGGACCAGTAAGAATCATCTCTTATTGATCCAGTGTTACTACAGGAGGAAACCTAAACTAAACTAACTTTATTTATACTGGATAGCTCTATCAGTTCTAAACTGTTCTCTCTGGAGGTTCAGTAAGGATCATCTCTTATTGTTCCAGTGTTACTACAGGAGGAAACCTAAACTAAACTAAACTAATTTTATTTATACTGGATAGTTCTATCAGTTCTAAACTGTTCTTCCCAGAGGTCTAGTAAGGATCATCCCTTAGTGCTCCAGTGTTACTACAGAAGAAAACCTAAACTAAACCAACATTATTTATACTGGATAGCTCCATCAGTTCTAAACTGTTCTTCCTGGAGGTCCAGTAAGGATCATATCTTATTGATCCAGTGTTACTACAGGAGGAAACCTAAACTAAACTAACTTTATTTATAGTGGATAGTTCTATCAGTTCTAAACTGTTCTTCCTAGAGGTCCAGTAAGGATAATCTCTTATTGCTCCAGTGTTACTACAGGAGGAAACCTAAACTAAACCAACTTTATTTATACTGGATAGCTCTAAAGTGACATGCTCTATAAACACTTCAAGAGGTTAATCTAATTCACCTAAGTAAGACAACAATGATTAACTAATTAAACCACCATTTTTTTCCAGACAAAAGCCACGTTCGTATGGGATCGAACTTGATCTATGCGAAGCGAGGCAACACGACATCGCCCAAGGCAGTAGTGGAAGGTCAACTCAATCCCAATCTAATACACTCTTACGACAACAAGGCAATGGACTTGACATTTAACCACCTCAACGGTTTCCCACAGTACTCTGCGACCGCCAATGGTGTGTGGAGGAAATATGAAGAAAAGATGGCTCTCTACGCCAAGGACAGATGCAGTGCGAAGGACGATAGCGCCGTGTTCTATGCTGTAAGCGGACTGTCTGATTATGAGTTGACTGGCAAAGGTTCAAGTGCGTTCCTTAAACCAGCCATGTATTGGCCAGTAGCATACGAGGGAGCAATACCACAACCTTACCACAGCCCAAAACTCACGGATGGGTTAGCAAAGTCGATTATTATGCCAAAATCAATCTGGACTGTAGGATGTTGTACTTGGACAGATAACGGTGAGCCAAAGGCAGAGTCGATCTCATTCTGGGCTAACAATAAACCCCGTGGTATCCCGAAACACGAGAACCAGCCTGATCTGCACACCCTGGGAGCCCGCCTGTTCCCGGGAAAACCTTGTTTCCAGTTCTTCCCTGCCAACCCACAATGCAACATTGCTGACAATCATTTCACATTCGCGCCGTAAGGCAAGGATACGGTTTTAATATGAACATGGGTTTAATATATACATTAATTAATGTTTAATTGTATGCAAAATGAACACAAGGGATAATTAGATTGTAATTATTATTATGATGATTATTATGCCTAATTTATTATTTTTACGTATGTGGTGTAGATTTAAAACAGGATATTAATTGTAATACGATACGATTAAATAAAGTATGAATATAAAATGCAGTGAAGGCAACTTCCTTTTTAGATTTTTTATTTCCCATTTATTAAAATCTATTATTACAGTCGCTTTTAAATTAAATTTGACTACAATTTGATTATCATATTTTTATCTATGCTTATATTATCTTTGTGTTAGGTTATGAAATTATTTAATAACCCTCACTTTGTCTAAATTTATAAAACGACCATCTATTAAAAATTTTACATTTAAACTTCTACCGGTTAATTCTCAGCGTAAGTTTGGTGTCAATGACCGGGTCTTTCCAAGACCACTTTACATCAAAGGTAAGCCAGCTAGCAACTAGATTTAGTAAGACTTATATCCAGTATTCTATCCCTTCTGTACTAAAATACTAAAATTACCGTAAGCTTTATTCGTCTTCATTGAGCGTGCAGGGTCTTCTAAACTCTTGTCCACGTAAATGAAACCATTTATTCCCCACTAGAAAAGAAATAAATATACATTCAGCCTCTGATTCACTAACAGTTTTCACTCAAAATATTTCCTTACCCCATTTAATTCCTGAGAGGACCGGGCAAGCTGCGTGGAATGTCGAATTATCTCCGATACCAGATTGTTTCAGGTTATACCAAAATACAACATCACCCTAGGAGTAAATGAAGATTTTTATGCTGGGACAGTACAGGTACAAAACATTAAATGAACTGCTTGAAAACATTAACTATGCAAGAATTTTTTTATTATTTTCTAAAACTTTGTTAGAAAGAAGACGTTTCCTTGCCAAACATGTGATAATTCCACTGACATTGAAAGTTATATACTTTAAGAGCTATCAAGGCTATCATTTCGTCTGCAAATTTGAGTTAATCACAATTTTATCAAGCTAAAAACAGTCTTCTATAAAATACATTATGCAGCGTGACGTCATTTAAGTCATATTTACATGCCAAACAAAGCCCTATATCTTGACATACACAGAGTTTTAGGAAAAAAGTTACATTATGATTGTGAACTTTGCAATTCAATCATAAAAATCTTGCATAGGCACTTTAATACTAACCTTATCAGGTCTAACATAGATATTTAATCTTGTGAAAGCCGTGCCTCCTCCATAGGGAACACTTGTGAGCTACAAACATTTGTACAGAAAAGAAACATAAGTAAATCCACCTTTTAGGAACACGGTGTCTTTCTATATAAACATTGCGCGCGTTCATACTCACGTAGAGTAACATTGTAGCAATTCTATTTCCGTTCACGTGATTAATTAACGGCGAATTTGGATACTAAAAGAAAGAAGGTACAGTAGATTGAGATAGTAGATTAAGGACAAGGGATAATAGGCAGTAGATTGAGGACACGAAGGGATAATAGGCAGTAGATTGAGGACACGAAGGGATAATAGGCAGTAGATTAAGGACAAGGGATAATAGGCAGTAGATTGAGGACACGAAGGGATAACAGGCAGTAGATTGAGGACACGAAGGGATACATGCAGTAGATTGAGGACACGAAGGGATCCCACTTGTACTCACTCCATGATCGTGATGTTCCTCATATTGTCCTCCCAATCCATAGTTGGCCACCTATAACAACAAATGTACCCTTCTGTTAGTTAAGTCAGGTTTCAATACGGACGCAATGGTCGTGAAGATAGAGTCATGGTCTTTCTCAACGGACAGATTGTAATATGGGTATCCGGTCGTTTCGCCCCCAAGTCGTTTCGCCCCCAGTCGTATCGCCCCCAAGTCGTTTCGCCCCAAGTCGTTTCGCCCCCAAGTTAGCTAGTGAATTTAATATCTTTTACAAACAAACATACTCACCCATATTTGCGAGTATTGTGGTCATATGGATCAAACGGCAAACACGCAAAAACCTATTCACTATTAAGGTGACAGAATTACTGACAAAACGTAACATTTCAAACGAAAACAAAAGCGCGAAAAGGTTTGACAAAGTCGGTAATCAACGCAGCGATTAGTTTTTTATACAATGGACGAACGAAACAATTCCCAGAACGGTGATTAGTTTTTAACAATTATAAATAGAAAAATGACTCAAACCCGGTATTATACTCATCTTTCAAACATGTATGGAATTCAACAGACAATATAAAATGTTTGAAACGTAAACATTCATGAAAAAAATCGCACGCGTAACGGTAGCTTGCAAATAGTTACTCAGTGACAATGACAACATTTATATGTATGTGTATTCTTGACTATATTTTTAATATATCCATCATTTGAAGTTGTTTGGCAACGAAACGTTGAGACGAATCGACTTAGCCACTTGGGGGCGAAATGACTTGGGGCGAAACGACTTGGGGGCGAAACGACTTGGGGCGAATCGACTTGGGGGCGAAACGACTTGTATTCGTAATATGATGTTTGTGATGTTACTCTGAGTGTATATCCACACCGGGCAAGCTGGAAAAATATGCCTGGCCACGGTGGGAATCGAACCTACGACCTTTGGAATAGTTTCACCTGTGAACCACTGCTCTATTTATAGCCACTCTGCCTATCTTCAGTTCTAAACTGTTGTATTTCGGCTGAGAAAGATCGCGACTCAATTTTTACAGCATTTTTTACGACGACCGTTACGGGATCTCTCCACGAGTGAAATCATGAGTTGCTAGAATGAATGAGATTGTTATTCTATCTTTACCTGCAAGTCTTCAGCAGTTGACATGGTCAGACCACTGATTGCCTCAGCTCTGCGATTGAAGATCTTCACAGCATCGGTGGCATTCTCATGAATCCATGCACTATATATCAAACGCAATCAGATATTGACTGGATACTCATACCAGTTTTGTTCTTCCAAGATGGACAATCACTTACTTTTCACTAATCCTGTAAGATACTGTTTCCACTTGTCCCGTTTTGAGATTAAACGCTTTTGATCGCTGCAGCTGATAACAGAAGAGAATGTAGGATTAGAGTTAGGATTAAAGTTAGGATTGAGATTAGGATCATAAGAATTAAGCGCCAATCAAACGAGCATGAGAGAGTCACGTGACCTTCGCTATCTGTTCTTATTGCTTTCCCAATCACGTTAAAATCATCAAAACAATGAGTGACTACATGGCATGAAGAACAGTGAGATTTTCAAAACATTCACAAAATATGGAACATTCTGGGGCCGGTTGTATAAAAACGTAGTTAGCGCTATAAACTGCAGTTAAAAAGTAGTTAAAAAGTAGTTAACTTTAATCACGTAGTTAAGCCGGTTGTATAAAAGTGTAGTTGGCCTTAACTGCAGTTAAAAAGTAGTTAAAGTTAACTATGCTTTAGGGTATAGTTAACTGTCCAAAACGTAGTTAAAAATGGCGTTTGTATAGGAGTGAACAACATTTTTCAGTAAAACAATAATGAAAAGCAACGCTTACCTGAGATTTTCAATCGCTATCTTCCCTGTGAATGTTTCCTGACAATATAAACTCTTCAAACGCTATCGCTTTGGTGTTTTTACGAAAACAGAACATATTTTTGCACAGGACGATTTCTCGAAGACGAAGTATGGTCCATTACAACAAGAAACACTGATATATAATTGCCAAACAGCTGCCTTGGTTTAACGTAGACATCTCAAGGAAAAACTGCATTCTTTTATGATTTTTGTGGCGGTTTTTCTTTATTTTTTGTTTATTTTTCACTGTTTTCTAGTGTTTTGAATAAAATTCCCGCCTATTTGCAAAATACGAGTCCACAATCATGTTGAAAATGTGTGTCAGCGGTCGTTACTCGCTGCTTACTTTATGTAATTTTGTGTTTAAACGCCCCACGCAAGCCCCACGCACAGACGTAGTTAACTAATTACAGTTAAGGCTTTAACTACAGTGATTAACGCTAACTACAGTTAGCGCTAATTACGTTTTTCTACAACCGGCCCCAGATCAATGGGTCGTGATTGGCTGGCACTATTGTTACACTATAAAATGCTAGGCAAATGGCGCAGTCCACTCACATATGGTCTTGCGACATTTTTGATCTTCTCCAGGTCAGTATCTCGAACCATATCGTGATATATGACAACTCTAGGTGTGACTAACACCACTTCCTCCTTGCCAGGTTTTAATCTCAATATCGGATGATCTGTTTTATAGCGACATTTGAGGAAACGAGCTGGGCCATGGGACTGAGTGAAGAAAAAATTATCAGATTTAATTAAGGATACATCATAAAAGTTATATATAGTAATGTCCAGTCGACATGCATGTGTCTTTCACGTGACCAGGGTTCTGATTATAATTTCTCCTCAGTCACATGTGAGAAGAGTGCTTCAAGTTTGATTTTATTCACGCACAGGAGGCCTGTGGGAGAACAGTTTAGAACTGACAGAGCTATCCAGTATAAATACAGCTCGTTTACTCTAGAATGAATAAGAGATGAATCTCACTGGACCTCTACGAGGAACAGAATAGAACTGATAGAACTATCTAGTATAAATAAAGTTAGTTTAGTTTAGGTTTCCTCCTGTAGTAACACTGGATCAATAAGTGATGATCCTTACTGGACCTCTAGGGAGAACAGTTTAGAACTGATAGAGCTATCCAGTATGAATAAAGTTAGTTTCGTTTAGGTTTCCTCCTGTAGTAACACTGGATCAATAAGAGATGATCCTTACTGGACCTCTAGGGAGAACAGTTTAGAACTGATAGAGCTATCCAGTATGAATAAAGTTAGTTTAGTTTAGGTTTCCTCCTGTAGTAACACTGGATCAATAAGAGATAATCCTTACTAGACCTCTAGGGAATATAGTTAAGAACTGATAGAGCTATCCTGTATAAATTGGTAATCCAAACAAACAAACTAACCTTTCTCAAATTCTCTTCTCGACATAGCTTGGTAATTTTTGAGTTCTGATAAGTATCAATCAACTTCTTCTCCTCATCAGCCTTGACATGTTCGTAAGTTTTAATCAAACCTGTTTTGAGTTCCCGACGATACCTCATCGCGTTGTCCAGAGCCCGTGTGTTGTAGGGACCTGAGGAGAGAGGTGGTGGTCAGATCCAGGAGCGGAGGGGATGAAATTAAGCCCCCCCCCCCCCAACTGACTTCTTACCTAGATGGAATATATCTTATACAACACGGCGGGTGTATATACTTACTGATTTTAATGAGTTCAACGCAATGCTCTAACGCTTTTTCAAGATTTCCAGTCTAAAAATTTTAATAAAACAAACTGAGTAATCTTTATTGGACCTATAGGAAGAACAGTTTAGAACTGATAGAGCTATCAAGTATAAGTAAGTTAATTTAGGTTTCCTCCTGTAGTAACACTGGATCAATAAGAGATGATACTTACTGGATCTCTAGGAAGAACAGTTTAGAACTGATAGAGCTATCCAGTATAAATAAAGTTAGTTTAGTTTAGGTTTCCTCCTGTAGTTACACTGGATCAATAAGAGATAATCCTTACTGGACCTCTAGGAAGAACAGTTTAGAACTGATAGAGCTATCCAGTATAAATAAAGTTAGTTTAGATGAGCAGTTACCTACCATATACTCGATCCAGGACGCGTGTTCAAGCAAGAGTGGCAAATCAATATTACCATTATAGCCAGGTCGTTTCACTCGCTCCAGTGCCTCAACCAGCCACTCGCGTGCCCAGTGGTATCGGCCAAAATAAAGAGCAAATGAACCCAGCTCAAAGCAGTCGTCAGCATGAAGTTCATTCTTGATACTACTGCCTACGATACGATACAGTCAACAATTTAAAAATTAGTTTTGTTTCAGTCAGGCCAGCAGATGGTCAGCTTCAGAAATGGTGACACTTGCTCAAGAAAATCTCTCAATACACCCTTTCGATAATTACGTCACACATACTTTTTGCTCTTGGAGCCTCGCTCTCATTAGTGAATTACGCAAGGTGATTGGCTCACTGTTCATGAGAGCGAGGCTACCAGGTCAAATGATGTTATTATCGAAAGGGTGTTATTCTATATATTTGCCTCCAAATAAGACTGGTTTACAATATCAAAGTTTCTGGGATCACAGTAGGAATTTCGGATCAGGTAAATTCTAAGTTTTGAAGGATTTGTAAGAAATGTTTGAGGAAACTGACTAACGCTCGTATTCTAAAAGCTCACTCACACTCAAAGAGTGGAGGTTGAATCTGAGCTTCCCTTGAGTGTCAATGCTGTTTTTGAATAGCTGGAGAGTGAGTAGTCACATAGTAAGGTACAACACTAACGCCTGTATTCTAAAAGCTCACTCACACTCAATGAGTGGCGGTTCAATCTGAGCTTCCCTTGAATGTCAATGCTGTTTTTGAATAGCTGGAGGGTTAGTGTCGTTCCTTACTATGTGACTACTCACCCTCCAGCTATTCAAAAACAGCATTGACACTCAAGGGAAGCTCAGATTGAACCTCCACTCTTTAAGTATGAGTGAACTTTTAGAATACAGGCGTTAGACTGTTAGTGTCGTTCCTTACTATGTGACTACTCACCCTCCAGCTATTCAAAAACAGCATTGACACTCAAGGGAAGCTCAGATTGAACCTCCACTCTTTAAGTATGAGTGAACTTTTAGAATACAGGCGTTAGACTGTTAGTGTCGTTCCTTACTATGTGACTACTCACCCTCCAGCTATTCAAAAACAGCATTGACACTCAAGAGAAGCTCAGATTGAACCTCCACTCTTTGAGTGTGAGTGAGCTTTTAGAATACGAGCGTTAGTGTTCCACAGTGTAAACCAGTGTTTAAGACTACTACATATAATGAAAAGAATGAACATTATTTTCTCATTCTGATAACTGCAGGTTGACCCTCATCTGCTGCACGATACTGCTCAGTGAAAACCTAGCTATAATTTCAAGCTCACCAGGAATATTTCCATTCGCCATGTCGTGAGATGAGATGTTGTACGTATCTTGAAGTAAATATATCGCTGATATTGATCCGTAAAGATCTTCCTCTACTGTAGGAAAATATGGCTGGAAGTCATCTAACTGGCCTAAAATATCTACAAGGAAGGAAGGTATAAGATGAGCATGCACGCTCCAGAAACGTTGTGACCAAGGAGTTGTCTGTTCTCAGACTGAGGTTTGATTCCTGCAATATGCAGTTGTCTGATTATAATTTCACCTCAGTCACATGTGAGAAGAGTGCTTCCAGTTTGACACTACCAAACATCACAGGTTTTCTCCTGTAGTAACACTGGATCAATAAGAGATGATCCTTACTGGACCTCCAGGAAGAACAGTTTAGAACTGATAGAGCTATCCAGTATAAATAAAGTTAGTTTAGTTTAGGTTTCTTCCTGTAGTAACACTGGATCAATAAGAGATGATTCTTACTGGACCTCTAGGAAGAACACTTTAGAACTGAAAGAGCTATCCAGTATAAATAAAGTTAGTTTAGTTTAGGTTTCCTCCTGTAGTAACACTGGATCAATAAGAGATGACCCTTACTGGACCTTTAGGAAGAACAATTTAGTACTGATACAAGGGATAGAGCTATTCAGTTTAAATAAAGTTAGTTTAATTCACCTTTTGACTTATTAGTCTTGACAATTTTTTCCAAACGTCTCCATTGATAGACAAATCTTTTAAACAAAGCATAAACTTCCAAAGGACTTGCATAAATCTCATCAGGATTACTAATATTTCTATTACCGAGCGAATTCTTAACCTGTTCAGCAATTTTTGTAACTTGTTCCAATTTTGCCTTTTCTGCAGCTATAAACTCATCTAAAGACTGGACTAATGTGTTTTCCATGAGGGCGAGATCTCGTAGCCTCGTCATCGCCGTATAAGCCGCGCCATCGCTCGTTCGAGTGTAGAATTGAGCGAGTATTACAAAAATTAAAAAAGCTCGCATCTTCCGAAGTATTTGTACAGTGATTTATGACTTCTTTCAAATGCTCATAAAGTCAATTCCCTTGCTTGTTTCCCTTACTTGCTGGCATGCAAATAAGCGACAAGTCTTTAAAACATTTTTTATTTCTATTTATTCCTGAATGTGTCAAAGCAGTGAGGTTTTGATACGGCCTCAATGCAACAGGTTAACTGATGAATAATTTATCAATTCATTTCAATATGATAACTGTAATATTATAATTTAATTCAAATGCAACATTTCAAAACCTTACTATTATCGAATGTAGTTGCTCTTTTTAATAACCGATTTATTATATATACAGTATTTTTACATAGCGGTTTTTTATAACACACAGTTTATGATCCACTTGACTTATGCAAATTTGGTGTAAATGAACAATCAGAACAGGAAATTTGAAAGCATTCTTTGAAAGCACGTGTTATTAATCGGGTACCGGCAGTGAATGAAATAACTCGCTGTTTCAGTGTTACGTGCGAGAGTGCATGATATTAGTATTATTATTTTAAGACTCTAGGGTCCTTGTTCTTCATTTTTCTTGACCACTTGTTATAAAAGAAAATCTATAGTCATCGAAATTACGTGAATAACAGAATGTCAGAAACAAAATGAGTGGCGAAACAGTTCGCGCTGTACAGTGAACTTATAATCAGTTATAGTTTGAAAGCTGTTCAGCAATCTTAATAATATTATAATATACTTTATACTTTATGTTTTAGACAATACCACAATTCAACAAGAATTACTGTAACAGATGGTTGGCTCTTTCCTGGCGCCTATACATATTTTCTCGAACTATGGCAACCAAGAGTGAGCAAGCTTTAACCTTTTAAGACCACTTTCCACTTACAATGTAGTAACGAAACGTAGCATAATGTCTTTGTTTTCTGAGCACTAGAGTGCAACTAACGACCTTGATACAAAGGAGAATGCCATGTTGCCTTGCGATTCATACTGATTGACTGATAACCGCTATCGGCATCGGGCCAATTTTTGCCTTATCAGTAGACAATCTGAATCGGTAGAATTATCTATATTTCCGATTGTCTAAAACTGATTGTTGAGAAAATACGCACTTTGAAAATTATATGCATTGCACGTTGATACACGTTGCGTTTTAACCAAATATGTTAAATTAATGCGTGAAGCGTGCCATTTATCAACGTTTTTAACAATCTTTGGTTGCAGTGACATGTTACCACAGAGTAGAGACATACAGAGACGTAACTGACCGTTGTAAACACTGCGGAAGATTACGTTATCATGTACCCACTTTTTTTCAGGCGACCTGGCAAAAAATGATCAACTGCGCGTGCTCAGCAAGTTTAAAGTGAGTCGTCATCAGGTCGTCATCCAATCAGATGCATGCATCTAGTAACTTGCCGAGCGTGCGCACAAAAAAAGTGGGTACACTAGTTACGTCTCTGTATGTCTCTACTCTGTGATGTTACGTTGGAAATTATCGTTAAAAAATCGTCATGAATGATGTCACCTTAACTCGGTCGACTGATATTATGACGTCATTATAAATTCGGCGTCAGACTGCGGCATGAATAATCGGTAATTTCCGATCGTTGCACAATCGATCAATGACTAGCGATTGAAGAGAAAAACAGTTTCGATGAAGTCGGACATATTTCGTGAGGCTACGTTTACAGTGTACCAGATTGCTGTCCGTAGCGACGTGAAACAACACCGTACCGTTTAGGAACGCTATTTTCAGATGAATTATTACAACGGTGAGATGTTGTTTCGCTCAGCTTCTTGTACATTCCGTATGGGATAAGTGCTTTTTCGCGCCGCTAGGGAAAGCTATAGCTAGCTATCTGGTATAGTGGAAACATAACCATAAACTCGCTCGAACACTGATCCTGGGAAAGCAAAACTCCGGACACATTTCACAAGACAATCGCCTCAATCATTCTTTTCTCTCTCCGTGTTGCCCAACAGTGTCCTCACCGGCGTCAAAGACATGAAATATTCCACAAATACCTGAATATACTGCAAGCGCCATAGCACAAACATAGCCAGGCTGAGTAGAAAACATAATGAAGCAAAGAGATAAAGGTTGAACTCGTCTGAAGGTGTACTTGGTAAAGCTCCTTCTTCGTAATCAATTCCAATTACTTCCACTGACGCGTTGTACTCCATGCCTGGAAAACAGACTTCGTTCATTCAGTGTTACTACAGGAGGAAACCTAATCTAAACTAACTTTATTTATACTGGATAGCTCTATCAGTTCTAAACTGTTCTTCCTAGAGGTCCAGTAAGGATCATCTCTTATTGATTCAGTGTTACTACAGGAGGAAACCTAATCTAAACTAACTTTATTTATACTGGATAGCTCTATCAGTTCTAAGCTGTTCTTCCTAGAGGTCCAGTAAGGATCATCTCTTATTGATTCAGTGTTACTACAGGAGGAAACCTAATCTAAACTAACTTTATTTATACTGGATAGCTCTATCAGTTCTAAACTGTTCTTCCTAGAGGTCCAGTAAGGATCATCTCTTATTGATTCAGTGTTACTACAGGAGGAAACCTAAACTAAACTAACTTTATTTATACTGGATAGCTCTATCAGTTCTAAACTGTTCTTCCTAGAGGTCCAGTAAGGATCATCTCTTATTGATCCAGTGTTACTACAGGAGGAAACCTAAACTAAACCAACTTTATTTATACTGGGTAGCTCTATCAGTTCTAAATTGTTCTTCCTAGAGGTCCAGTAAGGAGCATCTCTTATTGATCCAGTGTTACTACAGGAGGAAACCTAAACTAAACTAACTTTATTTATAATGGATAGCTCTATTTCTGAACTGTTCTTCCTAGAGGTCCTGTAACAGACAGCCCTTAAACAGCCAGGGAAACCTACTTAGAAATTGAGAAACTGGAGTACAAGTAGAAAACCTGAACAGGTGTTTCGTAAAATCAAACTGGAAGCACTCTTCTCAAATAAGACTGAAGTGAAATTCTGTTCAGACAACTGTGACAAATTCACACACCTGTACTCTGATGAATAAATTCAACAAGATCTTTGAAAGTTCTTGAACGGTTAAATCTTGCCACAGGTCTACTTTCTTGAAACAAAATTATTGTGGGGACACCGACAATGCCGTATCTTGTATTTAAACTAAAAACAAAAGTAGGTAGCCGAGTTTGCTAACATAATACACGCTTCCAGAAAGTACGTCACCTTGGCTATACAGCCTCGTTTTCGTGATTGAGATGTGGACTTTAACTGATGTCACATACATGAAAATGAGGCTCTATAGCCAAAGTGACGTACTTTCCGGAAGCGTGTATTCAGGTGTTACAAAATCATGGCAAACAACAAGGTTATCCCTGCCAGTTTCTTCTCAGTTTTGAGGAATTACAAAATTGGGGGGGGGGGGCTCCAGACCATCCCCCCACCCAGCATATGGTACACCTCTGGCGATGAGCCCACTGCCCAGCATCTTACCTGTTATGAGTATAGGCATCAATAGCGAGAATTGGTATCCCAGAAAACGCTCGACCAACAGCATTGTACATTGGAGCAAGACTGGTGGAGAAGTAGCACCACTTTGCATAAAACAAGACAACTGCACAGCCTGCGGTTTTATTCAATTCATCCAGCCACCACATTAAACTGTTCTTGTCTTTTAAAACAATCACATTTTGTTGCGTCATGTTGTACTTGGCACAACTCCAAAAAGGTTGCATTGTTTTGTTGGTAGAGTTGGCAGCAAGCTCAGAAACATTTACAGAATTAATATTTGTTTGATTATCAACAGAAGAGACATTCTCTGAATGTTCGTTCAAATTATTTACAGTGGGTAGTGTTTGATTTTCTGACTCTGTCCCATTGGAATTATCATCTATATTGTCTGTGTTTGAGTAACTATGATCTATGTTCGCTTCAGAACTAGTTGCATCTAGCTCAGGTTTATCAAAGGAATCTGAAACAGTATTTCTACTGCCATCAGACTCTGCTGAAGCGTGTTCTCCATAAACACTGCCAGTGAACAAGGTGTCTTCAACAGAGGCAGAGCTGTATGTTCCAGCAGTTGAAAGCGTTGCACCATTCTCACTTGGTTTATTACCTTCTAAAATATACAATTCCTTTCTAAAATATATATTTCTATAATAACAAATATCAAAATACGAACTTCAAAAATATATCAAAGTATCTTGATTTTAACATTTTTATAAACAAAACTACCAAAATTACAAACATGTATTACCTTCTTCTGTAAAAACTGTACTTTCTGTGGCACAAATAAAATAAAAATAACCAAGAAAAATCAATTTTGACAACATTGTTGACAACCTCTGCCGACAAAAGAACCTTCGTCTGGCGGCCATCTTGGATTATAATTTTTGACACTGGCCGAAGAAAACGAAAATAACTGGACCATTACTACCGTCGTTTGCACTAAACATGAACACCAGCAGATAAAAACATAAAAACATTGTCCATTTTCACGTGAAACATTCGTGTTCTGTGTACTGTGTAGGTAGTATTATGGTCGTTGATTCGCACCAAATATCTGATAATTAATTAAACAAATAATTTCATTAATTTATAATTTTATTAATTAAATAATTAACACTAATTATTCACAATTAAGAATATTTAATATGTCCACGCAGTACAATAATGGCAGGTCCTGCAACGACCACTCGGCCGTTCTTCAAAATGGACACTCTCAAGTCACCACCACGAGCTGAACATTGACGAGCTGGAACAATAACAATGAATAGAACACGGTTTAGTATCAAATTCTCGCTCAAAATTTTCATTCACAAAATCATCATAATCTACCCAGCATGTTATCTTTTCCCAACACTTCTGACCAGTAGCTTCCGAGGACCGTGTGTGCTGAGCCTAAACGAACAATGATTTTCTTACGTTTGGAAACATTATTTTAAACAGTGTCAATTTTGTCGCTTGACTTCCAGTGGAAACAGTTTAAAACTGATAGAAGTATCCACTATAAATAAAGTTTTAATAGTTTAGCTTAATTAAGTTTCCTTCTGTGGTAACACTGGATCAATAAAAGATGATTCTTACTGGACCTCTAGGGAAAACAGCTTAGAACCATGAAAAAGCTATCCAGTATAAATAAAGTTAGTTTAGTTTAGGTTTCCTCCTGTAGTAACACTGAATCAATAAGAGATGAACCTTACTGGACCTCTAGGAAGGACAGTTTAGAACTGATAGAGCTATCCAGTATAAATAAAGTTAGTTTAGTTTAGGTTTTAGAACGTATTCATCAAACCTGTGACTGGATCTTCGTTTATTCCATTCCATGGGGCAAAATATCGTGAGACAAAATCAAACTGTGTTCCTTGCTCGTTGCAATATCCTTCATTCCCTCTCACCGTCACTATGACTCCTCGTACGTCAATCACGTCTGGTGCGCTCGACATCATCGACTGAATATCTGGCTCAAACTGCTCGAACTTTGATCTGGAAGTAAAACAAAATTTTGTATCCAGCAATATTGGATAATGTTGGACCAACATATTGCAATGAACAGCCCTTGATAATTGGACGTCGTTTGCAAGAGACCGCGGACAAATTCAGAGTCGTACCCGAGTTCCATTTGTTCCAGCACACGAGAATTCCATCTGTTAACTGTGCTTGAATCTGTTTTATCGGGGCAGTTAGTTACGCACTGCTCAATCGAGAACAAGAGTTGCATGAGAGTTGGCGAGAGTTGAGAAGTGAGAGTTTGCATGAGAGTTGACGAGAGTTGAGAAGCGAGAGTTTGCATGAGAGTTGACGAGAGTTGAGAAGCGAGAGTTTGCATGAGAGTTGATGAGAGTTGAGAAGTGAGAGTTTGCATGAGAGTTGTTGAGAGTTGAGAAGCGAGAGTTTGCATGAGAGTTTTCTCAACTCTCATGCCCCGGTCAAATGAGAACAAGAGTTGAATGAAAGTTGAGAAGCGAGAGTTTGCATGAGAGTTTTCTCAACTCTCACGGTCTGGTCAAACGAGAACAAGGGTTGCATGAGAGATGAAACGCGAGCGAGAGTTGCAATTTTCATCAAATCTCGTCCTCGTTTGAGCAAGGCTTGCTGCATGTGATGAAAGGAGTGATCTGAGCGCAGCATTGAATTCATCCTGTTCTGTCTTAGTGGAACCTTAAATTCAAACTTGCCTTGAAGTAGAGTCTTCCAATCTCACTAAAAGTTTTCTCGTCTTTGGAGAATAGCAGACACAATGAACTGCAAGCTCGCCAATAGTTGCCTAAACATTTAAAAATATTCATTAAATTATTTTATCTTAAATTTGGTCAAGATCTCATTCTAAGGCAATCAACTATAACTTACTTTTATTAACGCTTGTAATCGTTCCACTACATCCTGTTTTAAAACATTGAAAAGACTGCTCCTTATTCAGACAATAAAACAATTAGGATATTAACACGCAATTATAAACAACGAATAGGTACATGCGCAAAAATAATAAACTGGCGCAGGAGCTTTTGAGAGTAAATTTCAGGTACCTTTTCAACAATGTTGGGTTTGTTAATTGGCATATCCAGACACAAAAATTCTCCTACATCAATTAACAACAAAAACGAAACAATATTCATTGAGCAAATTAAACGTATTCAGGTTCAAACACATTTGTATTAATGCAATTGGGTCATTCCAGAAAACATCCATACCACCCCCACGGAAGAAATAGGAAGTTAACCCCCCTACCCCCTTCGGATGTCCTAATACACTTACTATTATCAGAATTCAGAAACAATTTTTTCTCCACTCCCCCTCCGGACGGCAGAAATTTCCTCTGTGGGGGAAGTATAGATCTTTTATCCATTTGTAAGGAAAAAAGAAAGAAAACGATTTAAAATATACCATCTTTTTTCACTCTAAGTGGGCCACTCTGGGTATCAAAGGTAAGACATTCATTCTGATTTCCTGTAGAAATGAGAAGAGTTTTAAACACAGACAAAATAGAACTAAGCCATCTCCACTGACTGCTACATTATTATGAAATATTATTGGATAGAATGATTTATTCATAATTTCATTTCCTAATTGGGCAATTAACTAATAAACAAACTAAATTATGGACTAACTGATTAATCAACAGTTAACTAATTAGCTTATTAACCAATTGATTATGTAATCCCAGAAATTAACTAATTAATGAACCAACTAATTATTTAATTAGTTAAACCCAGACAACTTGTTCATAGGTTAGCTGATTGACTGAGTCATATGTTTACTAATTAATTAGCTAATTAAGCAGTTAATTTGCTAATCTAGGAGCTTGTTGATTGGTCGGGCTTATGAATGATCAATTGCCTGATTACTATTTCATTTCATGCTTTAATGGAGAAAAGGTTTAATTTACCTACTACATAATACAACACTGCAGCTGAGGCTAGAGTAGCATGACCACACAGGGGAACTTCAACGGTTGGAGTAAACCAACGTAGGTTGAAACAGTCACCTAAAGATGTTCATTTAATATTTGATCAACTTTTTATTGTTCTGTAATTTATTTATTTCTGTGGTGATATTCTCCCTATATATATATCTGAACTGTTTTTGACTGAAGCAGTATCGTGCAGCAGGTGTTGCTCAACCTGTAGTTATCAGAGTGAGAAAATAATGTTCATTCTTTTCATTATATGTCCTATCTCTCTCTCCTAAACTTCACCACTATCTGTCATCCTGTCTTGCTAAACGTTCACCGGCAAATGCCAAAATAGAGACCTGTCTTGTAGTCTTGACTTTCTGATTTCTTTCCAATAAAAGCAGTTTCAGAGATGTTCATTTGAGCTGCAAGTTTCTGGTAAATGCAAGAGTCAATTTCCTAGAAAGAGCAAAAAATATTAACTGATAAGTATACAGATCGTTAGATGGTCGCATTTATCACTCTAAGAAAATAATGACCATTCTTCTTATTTTATGCAGTAGTCTTGCGTCTGGAGGCAAACAATTAACCCCCCCAAATGAAATTAAGAAATTTTTGCTTTACCCCTCAAAAAAAATGCAAAGATGAAAGGATGCAAATGCATGCAACTCCTCAGAAACGGCTTTTTCAAACAGCCTCAGAAACTCTCTACCATAGGGGGTGTGTACATTAAATGGAATGGCCCCCGCCCAGATCAGTGCATCAATAAATATCATATTACAATGTCAAATAATTACATATTTTTTTATAAAAGTCCGTGATGTAGAGAACGACATAATACCTGATGACCTGGGAGGCAAATAGCAGCAGGATTACCACCGAACGGCTTCTTTGTGAATGCATTGACAACATAAATTGGCAGTTCACTTTCTGTGCACCTTATGGACGCCATATTGGTTTTAAGCACACAGCTAACCCAAGTTGAAGTTCCGTTTACTATTTGTGCAACGCCCCTGTGACGTCACATTTTCAGGCAACGATCCCTCCGTTAGCCAGATTCTTGAGTCAACTAAAGTTGAGCTTGCCTTAGAAAATTTCGTCCAAAGTTTGACTTCGAAAATTTCGGCCTGATCGCAAAAAATTTTACGCCGTAGACCGACTTAGAAACGTTCAAAACACATAATGATGCAGAAAGTTTTGACTCAGGAGTATTTTAAAGCACATTTTCACACAACTTTCTGAGTACAAGCTGTATGCAAATTAACCCTTGCCCGTCCTTTAATATAGATTCCACTACGCTTGCCCGTTGCTGAGATTCTTGAATCAACTATAGCTGAGCTTGCCTTAGAAAATTTCGACCAAAGTTTGACTTAGAAAATTTCGGCCTGATCGCAAAAACTTTTACGTCGTAGACCGACTTAGAAACGTTCAAAACGAATAACGATGCAGAAAGTTTTGTCTCAGGAGAATTTTAAGGCACATTTTGAGATGATTTTCTAAGTACAAGCTGTATGCAAATTAATCCTTGCCCGTCCTTTAATATAGATTCTACTACGCTTGCCCGTTGCTGCAGATTCTTGAGTCAACAATAGCTGAGCTTGCCTTAGAAAATTTCGACAAAGTTTGACTTAGAAAATTTCGGCCTGATCGCAAAAACTTTTACGTCGTAGACCGACTTAGAAACGTTCAAAACACATAATGATGCAGAAAGTTTTGACTCAGGAGTATTTTAAAGCACATTTTCACACAACTTTCTGAGTACAAGCTGTATGCAAATTAACCCTTGCCCGTCCTTTAATATAGATTCCACTACGCTTGCCCGTTGCTGAGATTCTTGAATCAACTATAGCTGAGCTTGCCTTAGAAAATTTCGACCAAAGTTTGACTTAGAAAATTTCGGCCTGATCGCAAAAACTTTTACGTCGTAGACCGACTTAGAAAGGTTCAAAACGAATAATGATGCAGAAAGTTTTGTCTCAGGAGTATTTTAAGGCACAGTTTGAGATGATTTTCTAAGTACAAGCTGTATGCAAATTAATCCTTGCCCGTCCTTTCAATAGAGATTACTCTACGCTTGCCCGTTGGCCAGATTCTTGAGTCAACTATAGCTGAGCTTGCCTTAGAAAATTTCGACAAAGTTTGACTTAGAAAATTTCGGCCTGATCGCAAAAACTTTTACGTCGTAGACCGACTTAGAAAGGTTCAAAACACATAATGATGCAGAATGTTTTGTGTCGGCAAAATTTTAAAGAACATTTTGAGATGATTTTCTAAGTACAAGCTGTATGCAAATTAATCCTTGCCCGTCCTTTAATATAGATTCTACTACGCTTGCCCGTTGCCCAGATTCTTGAGTCAACTATAGCTGAGCTTGCCTTAGAAAATTTCGGCCTGATCGCAAAAACTTTTACGTCGTAGACCGACTTAGAAACGTTCAAAACGAATAATGATGCAGAAAGTTTTGTCTCAGGAGAATTTTAAGGCACATTTTGAGATGATTTTCTAAGTACAAGCTGTATGCAAATTAATCCTTGCCCGTCCTTTAATATAGATTCTACTACGCTTGCCCGTTGCCCGGATTCTTGAGTCAACTAAATTTTGGGGCGATCGAAAAAATTTTACGTCGTAGACCGACTTAGAAACGTTCAAAACGCATAATGATGCAGAAAGTTTTGTCTCAGGAGAATTTTAAGGCACATTTTGAGATGATTTTCTAAGTGCAAGCTGTATGCAAATTAATCCTTGCCCGTCCTTTCAATAGAGATTCCACTACGCTTGCCCGTTGCCCGGATTCTTGAGTCAACTATAGCTGAGCTTGCCTTAGAAAATTTCGACAAAGTTTGACTTAGAAAATTTCGGCCTGATCGCAAAAACTTTTACGTCGTAGACCGACTTAGAAACGTTCAAAACGAATAATGATGCAGAAAGTTTTGTCTCAGGAGAATTTTAAGGCACATTTTGAGATGATTTTCTAAGTACAAGCTGTATGCAAATTAATCCTTGCCCGTCCTTTAATATAGATTCTACTACGCTTGCCCGTTGCCCAGATTCTTGAGTCAACTATAGCTGAGCTTGCCTTAGAAAATTTCGACAAAGTTTGACTTAGAAAATTTCGGCCTGATCGCAAAAACTTTTACGTCGTAGACCGACTTAGAAACGTTCAAAACGAATAATGATGCAGAAAGTTTTGTCTCAGGAGAATTTTAAAGCACATTTTGAGATGATTTTCGAAGTACAAGCTGTATGCAAATTAATCCTTGCCCGTCCTTTAATATAGATTCCACTACGCTTGCCCGTTGCCCGGATTCTTGAGTCAACTATATTTTGGGCTGATCAAAAAAATTTTTACGTCGTAGACCGATTTAGAAATGTTCAAAACGAATAATGATGCAGAATGTTTTGTCTCAGGAGAATTTTAAGGCCCATTTTGAGATGATTTTCTAAGTACAAGCTGTATGCAAATTAATCCTTGCCCGTATTTTATTATAGATTATGAGGACACATTATTTTGGGTATCTCATTTTGGCGTGCTTATGAGAATGCCATATTCTGGTGTCTCATAAGCACGCTCGCGTATATGCATATATATATATAAGCGTGCTTATGAGGAAACCTTATTTCTGGGTATCTCTTTTTGGCGTGCTTATGAGAATGCCATATTCTGGTGTCTCATAAGCACGCTCGTATATGCATTTATTTTTTATCAGTGAAAATGAAGCAATCTGATTGGCTGAGAGCCTTTCAGAGCGGGCAGGTTTTTTGCATCCGGCCCGCTCTGAAACGCAACTGCCCGCTGTGAAATGCAACTGCCCGCTCTGGATTTCGCGCCAAAAACCGAGGAGTGAAACAATTTTTAAACGAAAAAATCGGCCAAAAACGTTTGAAAAACATAGCCTAACGATAGTCAGAATACAAAAATGAATTGCAACAAGCCATAAAGACTTCATACTAAGCACGATGTTCACCAGAATTAACAATATTTTGATAGAAATGTGACTGAAAGTCGGAAAGTTTATATTTGACATGAATAAAACTTACGTCGAGAAAACTACATATTTTTTAAATGCTCATGTATTCGGCCACTTAAAAGCGAAAAAATTACAGCTTAAACAGAAATTGTAAAATAAATGTTTTCCCATTTAAAAGAAGGTTTAACTGCAGCAGTAAAAACAAGTTACGAATATATTCTCTACCCATTTGTGTCATGCATTTTTCACTGATATAAATATTGTAAACAAAGCAAATGTTTGTGTTTAAAAACACTTTTTCAAGCATATTATCCTGAGACGAGAAGAAAAAATACAAAAATATAAAAACAACATACCTTTTACATTGTCCTTTTAGTAGAAAAACGATGTTAAATCAAAACAGATTCATTTTTATATGTTTTTGATCGGAACTGAACATGAACCTGTCGTTGTCAGGACTCAGGAGCAACTGATTTTGTCAAAGCCAAAGCCAAAACGCCAGGCATAAAAGTTTTTATTCCAAAGCTTCTCTTCTATACCATATTCATGAAAAAAGCATGTACATTTTTACTGAAACTATACGTCTTTTTGTGTGTTTCTTGCCAGTTTTCTCGAGTTTTCGTATCGTGTTTTATATCATTCAACTTTTCAAATTTCAATTTTTGTCAGCCTCGCTTTGAAAATACACAACTGCACTGATCTCAAATTAGTTCGCAAGCAACACTGGAATTTTAAAAATAAACACGTTATTTACCGGCAGCGTCGGTCCGGATGAGAAAAACTGTGCCCTCGGTCTTGAAAACGTCCCTCGCCCTTCGGGCTCGGGCCGTTTTCAAGACCTCGGGCACAGTTTTTCTCATCCGAACCTCGCAGCCGGTAAATAACATATATATATAAGCGTGCTTATGGGGATACCTTATTTTTGGGTAACTCATTTTGGCGTGCTTATGAGAATGGCGTATTCTGGTGTCTCATAAGCACGCTCGTGTATGCATATATAAGCGTGCTTATGAGGATTCCTTATTTTTAGGTAACTCATTTTGCGTACTTATGAGAATGCCATATTCTGGTGTCTCATATAAGCACGCTCGTATATGCATATATAAGCGTGCTTATGGGGATACCTTACTTTTGGGTAACTCATTTTGGCTTGCTTATGAGAATGCCATATTCTGTTGTCTCATAAGCACGCTCGTATATGCATATATAAGCGTGCTTATGGGGATACCTTATTTTGGGTAACTCATTTTGGCGTGCTTATGAGAATGCCATATTCTGGTGTCGCATAAGCACCCTCGTATATGCATATATAAGTGTGCTGATGAGGATTCCTTATTTTTCGGTAACTCATTTTGGCGTGCTTATGAGAATGCCATATTCTGGTGTCTCATAAGCACGCTCGCGTATATGCATATATATATATATATATATAAGCGTGCTTATGAGGATACCTTATTTCTGGGTATCTCATTTTAGCGTGCTTATGAGAATGCCATATTTTGAGGCTGATGTGCTTATGAGGAAACCTTATTTCTGGGTATCTCTTTTTTGCGTGCTTATGAGAATGCCATATTCTGGTGTCTCATAAGCACGCTCGTATATGCATATATAAGCGTGCTTATGAGGATACCTTATTTTTGGGTAACTCATTTTGGCGTGCTTATGAGAATGCCATATTCTGGTGTCTCATATAAGCACGCTCGTATATGTATATATAAGCCGGCGTGCTTATGTGGATACCTTATTTTTGGGTAACTCATTTTGGCGTGCTTATGAGAATGCCATATTCTGGTGTCTCATAAGCACGCTCGTATATGCATATATAAGCGTGCTTATGGGGATACCTTATTTTTGGGTATCTCATTTTGGCGTGCTTATGAGAATGCCATATTCTGGTGTCTCATAAGCACGCTCGTATATGCATATATATATAAGCGTGCTTATGAGAATATCTTATTTTTGGGTATCTCATTTTGGCGTGCTT